ATGGCATTCAAGTTTAAGTAGTAAAGTTTCGAGTTTACTCAAACGTCATTCCGAATAGTACGTCGGTGGAGGTATATAATCAGGCGGGCCAGTCATCGAACTTAAACCAACTACCCCTGAATTATCTGCAGAAGAACCGTTATGTGAAGGTATAACCCTAGTGTCGTGCATGCTCTCGTGTCTGCACAACGGCTCAACGAGAGGCTGGTAGTTCTGAGGATAGTAGGGAATCACGAGATGATTCTCAGTTGATACTATATAGTTTGTCAGTAGAAGGCATTAACTTGTTTCTCGGACAATGGACGTATCGTGAGTCATGCCATCGATGTCGACCCTTCCTTGTTGCTCGTCATAGCGCTTTCTCTGCGCACGCCGACGATGCCAGAGTAAAAAGGCGGGAAAGATGAGAAGAACGAGGATAATTGGTACAAGCACTGCGGGAAGAATAGTGTGAAGGTGGTGATGAGTGGAGGCTGACGAAACACTGACGGTGGGGTTGGGAATAGAGGAAGTCAAGGATAATGATCCAGTGTCGGAGACTACGGGGTTTGAGACAGACGGCTCGGTCGAGAGAATAGTAGGCAGAGAAGAGTCGGTAGATACTGAAGAGGAAGATGTCCCCGATAGCGTGTTTGGGGGTGTCAGATTCGGAGGTGTTGCCGTAGAGGACGAACTTGGTAAAACAGGTTTAGGCGTTGACACAATAGAATATGGTGTTGAAGCAGCAGCGATACTGGGAGTAGATGGCGAGTACTCGAAGTAGTCAAACCACATCTGATCGTTGGGGTCGGTATTGATGACTGTAATTACGAGCGTATGCTCACCATCCTCGAGCTCTGGCGAGACGTAAAACGCATGACGATAGATGGTTTCGAGAGGTTTCGGGACAGTGACGAGCACTGCACTCAATCCGTCAAGAGAAAACGACGATGTGATAGGAACACTGCCTGATGGCGGTGAGCCTGGAATGGTACCAAAAGATGTTATACTGGTGCCTATGCATTGGGTGCATGATAGGAAGGTTGCCATCAAAGCAAGAGGTATACCTTCAAAGGAGTAGGTGATCTTTGAGCCATTGGTAAGAGCCGCATGGATAGTACTGCAATGAAGTTGTCAACATCAGCGGTTCATACACCAAGGGTAATACTAATAGACTCACCCATCAAACTCCTCAATGGGATGGCCTCCAACAAACCAGTCTCCAGTGTAAATAATATTTGGATCAGAGTCATCGACCTGGACGATGGGTGACCTGTAGAACAGCCTGCTACCCATGGTTCTGAGAGGTCAATAAATACTAGTGGGTATTAAACGAGCTATTTCCATGCAGTGGGGACAAAGGGGATGCCCATGCGCTCTTACTTTTGCCTATACCTCCCAGTACAAATGACATGGGAAAAGAAAAGCAGCTGGCGGTCATATCATGTCGTGATATCTGGATAGAACCTATAAGCTGATAATAACAATCAACGAATCGAGCGGAAAAGAGTTTGGTAGACTCGGATGGCATGTTGCGCATCTGCTAAATTATATATTTAGCTTTCTGAAATGTTCTGAAAGAAGATTGTCAATGTAGGGGCCCAGGTGAGTTTAGTCTCCGTGGCTGACCTCTATAGTGGTGCATTTGTATAGAGAGGTGATCATATGAGTTGAGGCGAGTTCGCAACTCGGGCAACTCGTATAAACTACCAGAAGATGCTCAGGCGACCGTGACGGCCCAGGGGCGGCTCGGAGTTAATCGCGAGTTTTGTTGTCCTCACCCTATACCTTTGTCCAGCTTTGTTTCGTTTGTTCTTCCAAAAGCTGGTCACTGTGACAGAAATGATCGTCATTGATGCCAAAGTTTTTTTTCTTCTGATTCTGACGAATTTTTTGATTAGTTTTCCAACTTGAAAGAGTAGTAATATGGGTATGGAATAGTACTTACTCTGGCAACCAACTTGGCTTTCACAGGTGCACAAATCTATATAAATCGTCAATAAGTACCGTAACAATATATGATCACCCCTTACCATCGCGCACCCTTGTAGGACGTTGTAAGTTACAAGTAACACCATACTACCTGAAGGCTGGAACAATCGATATGATTGTTGAAAGCATATGGATCAAAATCATGCTTACACCCTTTCGACCAACCCGCCTTCCAGCTTATGTCAGACCTTGAGCAAAATTCTCGCAAGTTGAGCTCGAAAGCGAACTGATGCGAGGCGACCAGACCAGGACCCAGCTCGACAACTTACACCGACGACGAATAACAACAAATCAGTCCAATCAGCCGAACTCACTGTATGAGGAGGAGGAGGAGGAGGAGGATCAATTTTGCCGAGAACCACACTACATACAGGGCGTGCTACTGTAAATGTGACACTACGACAAGGACAACTACTTAGATAGGCTAGTATGATGTACCCCTTCTTGTTCCCAACTAGGTTCCTGTAGACGATCAGGCGAGTACAACATTCCCTTCTTTGTTGTCGGGTACTAACACGAATGGGCTTCGTACAAGCAGGAATAAACTGGAGTGACCTGTGGCCATTTGATCTCTATCCTCACTGACGGCTAGTAGTTCGGGAGGACCATGTAACATGTACATGACCTCGTTCAGTCTCAACACCTCCAGTTTACTCACCGCTAATATTTCGATTTCCAACGTAAGTATGGTCCTGGGTACTCAAGCAACAAAGCCACAGTTTGGTCTCGTCGATGATATTTTATTCTTCCAAAAAAACGCATTTTATGATACTCTCTTCAGTTTCTCTGAATCATCATGATCCCAGCTATGTCTCACTGTCTATTCTCGTGATAGTAGCTGCTGACCTTTTTCGACAGAAATTCGCTCGCGTCGAAACGGAGTACGGTGAGCACACGTAAACACACCACCAGCGAAAATAATGGTTGGTTCCGAAGTGTTCACCAGCTATCAAAAAGGAATTCGAGGCACAAACGTAGCTACTTATAGCTATGGTTTAGCTTTTTTGCGATGTGAGATGGTGAGTATTATCTGACGAGACACGCGTCCCGAGTCAACCTTGAACGTTGAACGGTTGAACGTCTTTCTATAGCATTAGCCACTGTCTATCCACCCCAACCATGTTCACCACAAAACGACTCATTCTCCGAGCCTACCGCGAAGGCGACTTTGCAGAGACTGTTGCATTTTGGAACGATTTTGATAATCAGCAGGTTACTGTAATCGACCACGTAGTACCACAGGGAATAGTCGAGCAAGGATTTGTCAAGGATTGGGTAAAATCTCATCATCAGGTCATCTCTTCCGAGGAATCCCAAGCCACTTACTATTTAAAAAAAAATTATAACTTCCAGTTTAAACAGAATCGTTTACATGTTATCATGGAGCACAAAACCTCTGGAAGCTACGTGGGATTTTTTTCATTCGAGATGGCAATCCAAAGAACAGAGATGGCGAAATCTCACTAGCTTTAAAACCTGAATTTAAGGATCAAGGCTATGGAACAGAAGTTTTAGCATGGGATCTGGTATATGCTTTCAAGAGCCTCAATCTACATCGAGTGTCATTGAGGGCCTCTGAGAATGAGCCGGCTATGAATTTGTATAAGAAATCGTAAGCAGTTCAATTGGTATCCACTAATTAATCGCCAGATATTTTATTGAAGTTCTGTCTAGGGGGTTTGCAGAAGAAGGACGGTTACGAAAGGCAAACTGGATCGACGGAAAATGGGCTAATGTAGTCCTGATGAGCATATTGGATGAGGAATGGTGGTTATTATGTAAAGGATATCACCAGTTGAAGTAGTTCGAGATCATGTGACATCATCTTCAACACCTCGAGTTTACTCAACACTGATATACAGTACATACGTCTAGATTTCAAACACACACGAATCTCGAGTGACATAACTCTTTCGCTTTCATCAAAAATATATCTCCCAAAGTGCATTCCAGAATGTTCTCTTCAATTCGCCATCATGATTTCTGCTATCAAATGCACGGCCTCAGCTGGAACCACGATTCCATATTCAAGGCACACTCTACCTCTCAGTGGTTAGCAGCTTCGCAATATGAGATGGTGAGTATAAAAACAGTGCAGTTGTACACACGTACGCGCCATTCGTCGCCTCCCCCATCTTCATCTCCTTTCCATAATGTTCACCACAGAACGCCTCATTCTCCGAGCTTATCGCGAACAAGACCTCGAAGATACCGTTTCCATTTGGAATGATCTCGCAACTCAGCAACTCACCGCACTCGACCATGTAGTACCACGAGGACCAAGTCAAAAGGAAATTGCCAAGGGTTGGGTATGTTGAACAAACTATATATCCTCATTCAAGCTCTTTCGAAATCCCGGCAACAAGCAACTTACATACAACCCTCCTTCTTCTTCTTCCTTTTTTTCACTGTTATTAGTTCGAGAAAGATCGTTTACACGTCATACTCGAAGAAAAATCCTCACAAAAATACGTCGGATTCTTCACAATTCGAGATGACAATCCCAAAAACAGAGACGGTGAAATCGCAATGGCTTTAAAACCTGAATTTACAAATAAAGGATATGGAACGGAGGTTTTGGAGTGGGGTATTGAGTATGCTTTTAAAGGACTCAATTTACATAGGTTGTCATTGGGAACTTTTGGGAATAATGAGAGAGCTATTCACGTTTATAAGAAATTGTGAGCTAACCCCCGATTACTTACTTCTTCTTTAATGATCATGCTAAACTCATAACCGCGATATTTGTGTAGGGGATTTGTAGAGGAAGGAAGATTAAGAAAAGCGAATTGGGTAGATGGAAGATGGGTTGATATTATCTTAATGTCAATCCTTGACGAAGATTGGTGGTCCCAGCATGATGATATTAAACAAAATGAAGACCAAGGACCACTCGTCATTGGAACAATGGACGCAGATACTATCATACTGATATGATTACATTATGATCGACTTTATTGGAGTACTCGTACAGTATGTACGACCGTCGTGAACTGCCGATAAAAAAAAGGCTAGAAAATGCACATCAAAGTCCCCACCGTGGTTCGAACACGGGACCGCACGATATGTAATTGCTGACAAGGGCAACTGCAATCGTATGCTCTACCACTGAGCTATAGAGACATACCCTCGCAAATCCTAAGAATTATCTCAATCTAACTCACCCACCCATAGCGCTCACTCAAAAACAAAAACAGAAATCACAAAAACGACGACCATGAAGTTCAACAATAAAATTCCTTCCTATATATATTTGCAACTAATGTACGTATGATGTAGTAATAACCAACAAAAAAAAGAAAAACGAAAGGTATTGTATGTTACTATTGAAAAATAAGCGAATGGATGAATGATTCGAGTTCAAATGGGTAGGAAGGAAAGACTAGGTAGGTAGGTAGATGGATGTAGATAACAAATCTAGCGTGTGGAAGGAGTGAGTGAGTGGGTTGGTAGATGATTATATATGAAAAAACAAATATTGAAGTCTTGAAGAAGCAATTGAGGAGACAGAGCGATTTAGATGAATTCGAGATGTGGGACGGGACGACGACAATTTGGTTCGATTTGATTCTATTTGGTTTGTTTTGTTGGTTTGTTTGTTTCGACTACGTCGGTTGATGAGAGCAGAGAGACTTGTTGACGACGATAAATCTATGAAGGGCTGACAGGCATGTTGGTACCGTCGTACGAAAATCCTACGTAGACAAAGGGGTGTAAGAATATGACACCCACGGTTCAACACAAACAATTGACATACCAGCAAATTGAGCTTGAACAGTCTGAGAAAGTTGAGATCCCTCAACGACACTATCCAAAGGAGCTTCCTCAGTGAAGACTGTATCAAAGTTTGATACATCCTAAAAAAGAATATCCTCTCAGACCACATCCTAAAAAAATAAAACAAAAAAAGTGTGAAGACTTACCACAGGACTAGAAACACAAGGTTTAAATGGAGGTTGAATCTTCTTCTGAATCAATTTCGTGAAATCGATATTATTAGCAAAGAAAGGATGTTTCTTGATCTCGTCTGCTCCATTGTTTCCTAATCGTTGATGTGGGTCTCGATTGAGAAGTTTGGCTAAAATGTCTCGAGCCAGAGGACTAATTTCTTCGCCGAAGACTAATGGACTTGTGAGGATCTTTTGATACATTTGGTCGGTGTGTTCTATTTATTTAAAAACAGCAAAAAAAAGTACGCATTAGTAATGTAGTCAAAGAGTGGGAGAGGGTGGAGGAGGGGGGGTTGCAGCGTACCATCGTAGAATGGAGGTATACCAGCTAACATCTCGTATAACAAAACACCTAAAGTCCACCAATCGATCGTCTTGTCTAAAAGAAAACATAGAAACAAATGACAAACAATCAGGACAATCACGTATAAAAGTAAAAGTATAGATAAAAATGATTGATTGTTTCACTCACTGTATCCTTCATTCTTCAAAATCTCCGGAGCGAGATATTCAGGTGTACCACAGAACGTATTCGTCATATCGTTATCCTTCATATTCAATTTACACAATCCGAAATCACAAAGTGCGATGTGACCTGTGTAATCGAGGAGAATGTTCTCCGGTTTGAGATCACTGGAAGATGAAAGGGAAAAGGGTGTAAGTATGTAAGGAAGGCATGAAGTGGAGGTATAAGAATAAACCCGACCGGTAAACGACATCAAGATCATGCAGATGTTCTAAAGCAAGTAGCAACTCTGCACTATAGAATCGACTTCTTTCTTCATTGAATCGCTGTTCACGTTGAAGATGATGGAATAATTCTCCTCCATTGACGAAGCTTTAAAATTAACCCAAGTGTGTCATTAGTCAAGTGGAACACAACGAAGCAAAGTGAGTAGTATATTAATGACTACTTACGCCAAAACGAGGTAAAGTTTCTGTTGAGATTGGAAACTAAACTTGAGAGGAACAATGAATGGATTATTAACTCTTGCAAGGACAAGTCGTTCGGCCAAGGTATGTGTGATTTCGTTCCTTTCAACGATATATTGCTTTCGAATAGTCTTCAAAGCATAGATACGTGAAGTGTCACGTTTCCGAACTTGCATGACCTGTTCATGAAACAAAACATGAGCACAAGTCAATGACAACAATTCAAGTCAAGGTTCACGAAGTGTCAAAACGTTAAAACGTGTAAGATAGGTAGAGAACTGAGTAATTATACCGTACCTTTCCGAAACTACCTTTTCCAATCACAGTGATAAGCTCGAAATCGTCGATGGTAAGTGGATGTCCCTTTACCAATGGCAAAAAAGGTTGAGTATAGAGACACGAAACGAATGAGATGAGATATGTGTGACATACACTAGAAGGTTGGAATGCAAGACCGATTTGAATCTTTCCAGTACCCCCAACGATTTCATACCACTCATCTTGAGCGGGCATGTCATCGAAATCAGGTGTAAACCTAACACCACCCATGAAGATATCATGACCCAAATCATCAGCGAGACCATCTCCACCACGTTTAGGTTCTTCAGTACGAAGATAACATTGAAGAGAAATCTCGGAATTGCGAGATACATCGCTAAAGAAAAAGGAAGCGTGATTTAAGCAAAAATACAAACAAACCAAAGCAGATGTAAGAAGTACTCACAAATGGGTCTCGTACATATACAAAGGTTTCTCTAAATCACCACCAAGAGGTGTGATCAAAACCTGATTGACTTCATATTCCATGACGATATAAGGAAGCCACCAGCATTGCATCCTCTGAACACTACTATCTCTATTACTTCTTCTATTCGCAAGTCTATGTTGAGTAACACTCGAAGGTGAAACAGAAGCTGCAACTTTAGCTTGTTGAGATGTTAAAGCTGCTTGAACGGCAGGTGGGACAGATGCTCCGGAAGGCATAGAAATTCCTTCAGACCATAAGACTCTAATAGCAAGGATACCGGAGCGAGAGAACGGTTTCCCGTTGGGATTAGAAGGTGTTGGAGTCGTTGAACGAGGTGATTCCATATCCTGAATTGACAGATTACTGCCATTGGTCTTTGATTTGCTCTTGCCGAGTTTCCAAGACATGGTTAATTCTAGTTATGTGGTATCGAAAGGAAAGCAGCGAAGATGAGGTAGTAAGCAAGTGGAAGACTGAGAGAGAGAGAACAAAGCCTGCTTTGAACTCGAGGACGAGGTGATGAGTTGGCAGAGGAGGGGGTGAGGTCAGATTTGAGATATTCGAGAAAACCGGGTATTATTGAGAGGCAAGGCAAGAAACGAAAATCGGGCGCTTGACTATCACCATGGCTGGTTGGTCGTTTTAGCAGCCGGGAGAGACCGAAAATGTATCATGTTCTGTTGGTTTTTTACTGGAGAATGACGAGAAAGGTTGTAAAGATGATCATAGTCGAGACGGATCGTAAAGATCCCTTGACTCCCAACAGGATTCCTCAACATCTTCGCAGACTTTCCATGCCAACCAACGGTTATTGATCATTGCGTCCGCAACTTCGAAAAGGTACTTTTAATCTTGCAGAGTACTTACGGGAGTTTAAGGAGTCTCACTGCTAGCAGTAGTTGTAATGAATAATTAATAATGGTTTGTACTATTGAACAACACATGAATTGATTGCCCGTCAAGACTCAAAAACGTTTCATGGTACGAGTCTAAGAGTAACAAATGACAGAACACCAACAATTATGTACTGCAGCCTGAATCCGTCATGATGTTACAGATGATGTTGACTTGATAAACTGTCAACACCGAACATATCAATCATACCTATGCTCAGACGATGTGATGCTTTTGAAGCAAAGTAGAGAATCAAAAAATGACCGCCAGAGTATTTTGTCGCCTTTCTGACTAGGTGTGAGCAAGTATCTCGAGAAGAAGTTAGAGTACTACCTGAATGAACACAGCGAATCGCCAAACGAAGCTCTGCAGTGCTGTAGACTTTAGGCTCCAGTCATCTTCCGATTCGAACTGGCCTACTAGGAACTACTATAGGAAGAGTCACATCGGCGTCATGGGCTTGAGTTGGATGTGGCCTTGAACAGATACGAGTCATATTTGAGACTAGGAAGTGCCATGTAGAGTAGACGCATCCAGTCAACGATCGCGGAACCTCAAACATACTCACACATGGAACCGACAATAATCGGAATGGTTCCAGTCTGAATAAGAATGATCGAGAGTGAAACAAGGATTCTCCAAGGACACCTGCGTTTCCGCTATACAGGAAGCCAGTATGCATTGTATAGCCCACGACGGAGAATACACACCTCGATCAAACAAAAATCTTTGCGCCGTTTCTCGTGGTTGTGTACCCTCCGGTTGTTTCGCAGTACCACTTGTGTGATCGTGAAAGGGTCCAAACTCTAAAATGTTGACAGGACGGCGGCCCGGTGGTGCTCCGATGTCGGAGGAATGACTTGGTTACTTGTGCTGCACCTGCCTCAAGATAATCACCATAATCGCTAACGTTAACGATATATCTTGCCAAGATATCTGAGTCGAGGCGGCAGATAGTGCAAAGTGGCCGGGATGTCCTGGGGAGCGAGGGCAAATTCAAGTCAAAGATGATCCTGAGGTTGTCCCCGCCTGCTGCGGGAATATTTTGATATGAATATTGGCAACAGCACATAGTACGGTGATCGCACGGAAAGTTAAACAAACTATAATGCATGTCGTACGCTTTCTGCTTAATCTCAACGGCACGTACTGACGTCGACAAGGCTGCCATCGAGCATACGAAACCGAAAGCTGCTTGAATGAGAGAGACTAGATAAAAACGGCAAGACTACGCACTCACCAGGCGTTTGAGACAAAGTTCACGAACTCGTCACCAACTACAATTGATTGATTTGGGATTGGGCAAGCATAATTAATAGGAGACCTGGATCACAAGTATTTTGATAGAAGCAAGGGACTCAACCAAGTATGTGATAGGAGATTCTGTCACTTAGCGAAACGAATGAGCCAATGGCCGGACGGCTTGCGTAAGATCATATGGGATGAGATATCCACTTTGGATGAACGCTCCTAGACAGACACAGGCGTGGCGGTTTGAGCGTGGGATGGAAGGTTCCATAAATTTAGTCCAAGGATCAAAAGCAAATCGATAGTTTGAGAAGCAATGTAGTCACTCATTGCGGCAGGAAGATCCTAGT